GTAGCATGTTGGATGCATGTTTGACACATGAGTGGGTTGGAGAAGACATGGGTGCCAACATTGTAAAATAGGAACCAAATACATGCGTGCTAAAGCAGAGTTCCACTCACTCTGTAAAAAAATAAAAGTCAGCAGCTACAAAAACAGCCACTCATCTGTCCCACAATCCCGCGTTGCCCTCGCCGCAGCCCATTTCACCGGCCATCCTGTATTCCAGGCGCCGGCATCTTCAATGTGGGCACCTGGCTGTGACAGCTTGCGGCTTCACAGCCGGGTGCCCACTGCGCATGCACGAGTAGCACTGCGCTTCATGAATGGCCCCGTCGTCTTCTGGGACCTGTGAAGTGTCCCACAAGACTTCTGGGAGGGAGGGTAGGAGGACAACTTCCGCTTCTGATCGCCTAGGGGATCGCAGTGGAAGTGGGAGCCGATACCTGTCAAATTCCGTTACCTGTCCCCCCCCCCCGCTGCGCAAAGGTGCCAATCCTTAATGGCGAGCGGGGGGGACGGACCAATCTTTAAAGCGGAACTTCCGCCTTTGGGTGGAACTCCACTTTAAGAAGCCTGCTATGAACATAATTATCTGAGAGGTCATATGGCACTGTAGAATGAAACAGTAATGATAAATATGTCCTATAAAATGATCATGAATGGAATGCCAGCAAAACGCTAAATATGAAGGTGAATGGCATGCTTACTGCTTTTACCTTGCAGAGGGTTTGTTGCTGTCACCAGCCATTCTTATGATCCGCACACCTCTGCAAGTGTCACCTCTCTGCTGATTGTACAGAAGGGATAATTCACTGTCCAATCAGGAGGCGATCTCTATTATTTCTAATATTATACAGGTGCCAATCCCAGTACAATGCGCTTTCATTTTTTTTTTTCTTTTTTGTTCAAAATGTATTGAAAAGTCACGCTTCGTTCAGTTGGATTTACTCGTTGTCCCCATCACTGTAGAAGCTTTGCAATTTTGGTGGCTTGTGTTGCTACTTGCTGCACTGCAAAAAAAGCAAATCATTCAAGTACTTTTTTCAGAGCTCACCAACACAACACAGTGAACATTCTTAATAGAAAACAAGGCACATTTTCTTTGCATTGGGCGAGCGAAGGTGCTGGGGAAGACTTCTGAATGCTTAATCAAAACCCAGTGTATGAAATCAAAAGTGAAATATACAATATCATGCTAGATGCAAAGATAAATTAAATCATATGTGAAAATACCAATAACACAACAACCCTTGCTGCCACTATATAAATAAACCCAAGAAAATGTAAAATTAAAACCCACAGTTATGGTGTGAAAGTGGCGCACACACTTAGCTGTGATAAACTAATCATAGCAATAACAAATATTTCAAAAAATGAAACAACCAATAATATTTCAAAGAAATGTCATTAATATGTGAAAAAATATATAAATAGTGAAAACATTGATTAATGTGAATCCAAATAAAACATCACATATATAAATCCACCATGTGATGAAAAAAACTTCCAGTGAAAATGAGAAAAATGAAAAAAGATGAAAACTGATGGGGTGCCCTGGTGGGTTTTTCTTCCGCATTCTTGCAAAAAATGTAATTACTGCTAAAAATACAGGAAATAACTTGTACCATGATGTGGTCAGGTTCCCCTCCAGTGTCTTCATTCAATAAAGATTTTTAATTCTTTGATATTAAACCGAAAAGCAAACATTTGTTATATTGCAGCTTACCAATTTTTAGATGTGATGGCTGCATTAGTTTTCTTTTTTAAGCTTTCTTTCTTCTATTTTTATCTGGTGATCTGGCTAGCAAGTCTGTTTTTTTTCAGAAGTTTAAAGTGTTACTAAACCCACAACAGTAAAATCAGTCTGTATATGCAGTAAAGCATGCTTGTTATACTCACTGTGGAACCTAAGGGGTTAATCCTCTGAATTATGTAAAAATGATGCTTAATCCTTTCTTCTCTGATCTTTCCTTTCTTTCATTGTCCCCAATACATCTCCTGATAGGACAGACCCTTGGGGGCAATCTGCACATGCTCAGTTGTGTGTATTGCTAGAGAGGTTTTTTTTCTCTTGGGAGAGTGCACGTGATCAGCACAGGGCCAATCAGCACTTTCTAGACAGAGGGTCAAGGGTCCTGCAGCCTCTCAGGGGAAAATGAAAACTCCTCCTACAAGCTTTAACCAGTGCTCTGCTGGACACTGATAGAAGTCACAAGACTGCTCTAAGTGCTGATGAGAAAAGGTATTTAGAAGTTTATATTTGCTAAAATAATTGTATTTCCATGTTGTGTGTACTGTGGGAGACCAGATATAGTGAATGCAGGGTCCGGGGAGACCAGATATAGTGACTGCAGGGTGCGGGGAGACCAGATATAGTAAATGCAGGGTGCGGGGAGACCAGATATAGTGAATGCGGGGTCCTGGGTTTAGCAACACTTTAAACAAGTTTAAATTATACTGTATTAATATCTAATGGGGGCACAGACAGACATAAAAACCGGATGTGTTCTAATCCATCTCCACTATATCCAAAACAAAAAAAGTTTTGACTAGTTATATTTTAAAGTGTTACTAAACCCAAAACAGTATAATCAGTCTGTATATGCAGTAAAGCATGCTTGTTCTACTCACTGTGGAACCTAAGGGGTTAATCCTTCGCATTGTTTAAAAAGGCTGTTTGATCCTATCTTCTCTGTTCCTCCCCTTCTTCTACTGCCTTGGAGGAAAGCTGCATATGCTTAGTTTGGTGTGTATTGCTAGAGAGTTTTTTGGGAGGGTACATGTGATCGGCACAGAGCCAATCAGTGCTGTCCAGACAGAGTGTCAGGGGTCTTGCAGCCTCATAGGACAGTCAGAGCAGAATGAAAACTCCTCCTACAAGCTTTAACCATTTCTCTGATGGACACTGATAGAAGTCACAAGACTGCTATATACTGCTGATGAGAAAAGGTATTTAGCAGTTTATATTTACTAAAATAATTGTATTTCCATGTTCTGTGTACTGTGGGAGACCAGATATAGTGAATGCAGAGTCCAGGGAGACCAGATATAGTGAATGCAGGGTCCGGGGAGAGCAGATATAGTGAATGCAGGGTCCGGGGAGAGCAGATATAGTGAATTCAGGGTCCGAGGAGACCAGATATAGGGAATGTAGGGTCCGGGGAGACCAGATATAGTGAATGCAGGGTCCGGGGAGACCAGATATAGTGAATGCAGGGTCCGGGGAGACCAGATATAGTGAATGGAGAGTCCGGGGAGACCGGATATAGTGAATGCAGGGTCCAAGGAGACCAGATATAGTGAATGCAGAGTCCGGGGAGACCAGATATAGTGAATGCAGGGTCCAGGGAGACCATATATAGTGAATGCAGGGTCCAGAGAGACCAGATATAGTGACTGCAGGGTCCGGGGAGACCAGATATAGTGAATGCGGGGTCCAGGGAGACCAGATATAGTGAATGCAGGGTCCGGGGAGACCAGATATAGTGAGTGCAGGGTTCGGGGAGACCAGATATAGTGAATGCAGGGTCCGGGGAGACCAGATATAATGAATGCAGGGTCCGGGGATACCAGATATAGTGAATGCAATGTCCGGGGAGACCAGATATAGTGAATGCAGGGTCCGGGGATACCAGATATAGGGAATGCAGGGTCCGGGGAGACCAGATATAGTGAATGCAGGGTCCGGGGAGACCAGATATAGTGAATGGAGAGTCCGGGGAGACCGGATATAGTGAATGCAGGGTCCAAGGAGACCAGATATAGTGAATGCAGAGTCCGGGGAGACCAGATATAGTGAATGCAGGGTCCGGGGAGACCATATATAGTGAATGCAGGGTCCGGGGAGACCAGATATAGTGACTGCAGGGTCCGGGGAGACCAGATATAGTGAATGCGGGGTCCAGGGAGACCAGATATAGTGAATGCAGGGTCCGGGGAGACCAGATATAGTGAGTGCAGGGTCCGGGGAGACCAGATATAGTGAATGCAGGGTCCGGGGAGACCAGATATAATGAATGCAGGGTCCGGGGAGACCAGATATAGTGAGTGCAGGGTCCGGGGAGACCAGATATAGTGAATGCGGGGTCTGGGGAGACCAGATATAGTGAATGCGGGGTCCAGGGAGACCAGATATAGTGAATGCAGGGTCCGGGTTTAATAACACTTTAAACAAGTTTAAATTATACTGTATTAATATATGTAACATTTTAACTGGTTGTGCATTTTGAGTCAGCCAACTATAAAGTGTCATTCTACTGGTATACACTGGTATATACCCTGCCTGACATCTTGCCTTTGGAGTGGCTGCAGCAAACCCTAGCAGGGAAGAGCTCATTACCGGGGCTTGTTTGTGCAGCATCATCACTCCATGTACCTCTTGTCTCTCTGCTGTGCAAGTGTCCTGGTAACTGGAAAGGACTCAGCATCTCATTTCCAGGCACACACAGACTTGTTGCCTAAGCCAGCGACCAACAGGAAGTCAGTTTAAAGGAGATGCGGGAGGGGGGAGATGAATGTAGTGCATGGCTGGTTCATAGCTCCTGCGCTGATCGCTGATTGGAGCCAAAGAGGAGGAGAAGAGACAGGAGCTGAGCACACTGAGCCAGACACAAGCTGGAGGTAAAGCATGTGTTTGTAGAGGAGAAGCAACTGCACAGTGTGCAATGCCAAGCACAGCACATCTGTAGAGACGCTGCCATCCTATAGGGATGATCTGATCTTGAGCATCTCTTGTGATCCTCCTCTGATACTCTTAGAACAACAGCACCGACTGAAGCAACCAGCTAGAGATCCCAGTGTAACTGCTGTACCCAGAACAGGCATCAGTGGATTTGGATTGCTGGCAAAGTGAATGCCCAGGACACAGCGGATGCTAAAGGGAGCGCCAGGGATTGGCAGCAGGCTGTTGGACGGAGAGCAGAGGATCTGCAGCTCCCGGACTTCCTACCTGCTGAGCACCCCATTCATCCGCCAAGACGCCTCGGATCTTGTACAGGGGCTCATCCAAGATGGGCAGGGAGCAGAGACAGCAGAGGGAAAGGGCAGCAGAGCTCCGCATCCAGCGATCACAGAGCCGCAGCAGCCTGTCCGCCTCCTTCGAAGCACTAGCTGGATACTTCCCGTGTATGAACTCGCTGGAGGAGGATGAAGGTGAGCAGGTGATCGGTTTCACAGAGACAAGGACTGTACATGTCATATTCTTTTCTTTCCTTTTTTTGCATTTCCTTTTCTGATGTGTCCCTCAAACTGTTTTCCAAAAAAACTGTTTCCATGATTTGTTAAATATTTCCTAGAAAAAGAAAAAAAATTAAGGGGTAGAAAGGAATTTAGCATGCATAGAAGAATTTTGTTGCAAAAAAAAATGAAAATAGTGACATTTCCAGGGACAAATCTGACGTGAATGTCCAATATATATGTAAAGCGCTGCGTAAATTGACGGCGCTATATAAGTACCTGAAATAAATAATAAGTTCTAGATCTGTTCCTGCAGTTGAGGACTAGCTGACATTTATGATGTGAATGGCTGCGTATCAGCAACTGATGAAAAACTGCGTTTGCTCATTTGTCACCTGTCTCTCATTTCCATTGACAGACACCGGTTTTGGTTTTTTGTCTTTTGACATTTCTGTTCCCGGAGGTCTCTGATTTACAATATCCAGCTATCACTATAATAATGTCCCTGTTTATTGCCCTTTATTAATGTTACATAAAATGTTCTCCATTTATATCCATCAGCTGGTTAATGTATCAATATATAATATTTGAATTGGCAGCAGAAGTAATTTTGTTTATTCCATTTAATGCTACAGTAGCATTTTAAGCTGCTGCATTTCAATATGACAACTAAAAAAGGATAAGTACCCTGCCTCTGCTTAACATGTCCCTGGAAATGACTGTGACAGGGTGCTAACAATGTATAGGCACCGGCTAAATGCAGCATATAAGAGCCTCTAATTATAATTACCCTGCTGAGCCTTTTCTTCTATTACTGTAATTTTATTACATGGAAAATGGCAAGCAATCAGAAAGTTGTAAGAGCTTCATACATCAATGTAAAATTACCTACAAAATAAAACCGTATTTTCTGTATACAGCTACACTGTGGGGAGCAGATTTGTGGATTTGGGTGACTTAGATGAGACCTCTGTTGTTCCTAAATCCAGAATAGAATAGTAAATTCTGTTACTTCTGCTAATCATCCTGAATTGGGAGATGTGGAGCTGAAAAGATGTTCTGCATCAGCACCAGATATCACTCCACCATCAGCTGTCAAGTAGCAACTTAAAACTAAGTTTACTTATTGTGTCCTAAAAGAATGGAACTCCGCTTCATAGACGGGACGCAGCGCAGTGCAGGACATCAGTGTGATGAATGTGGTAATGACATGGCTGTAATCTACATTGCGGTAGCGTTCATGCAAAATGCTCATGATTACATTCACATAGGAGGTTCTTTTGTTAAACCATCATCTTTTCACTATATGTACTTTGTCTGCCTATTATCTTTTCTTGTTTCGTCTAAATTCACAGAAGTGGCATAGGAATAATTAGCAGCATGTGTATTATTCTTATTAAAATTAGAATTTTTTTATAGTTATTATTATTATTGATACAGAAAACACAAGCTGATTCAAACTGTGTAGACTGCTGATTCATTTGTTATGATCATAATACCCTTCATTGGATATATAGCGTAGTACATTTTTAGAAACTCTGTTGCTATACTGAATACTAAGTAGTGATATAATATCCTGTTTTACCAAACATTAATGACATACACGGGGTTATTTACTAAAGCTGAAGAGTGCACAATCTGGTGAAACTCTGCATAGAAACCGATCGGCTTCCATGTATTATTGTCAAAGATTAATTGAAAAGGCTGAAGTTAGAAGCTGATTGGCTACCATGTACAGCTGTACCAGATTCCCAATGCACTAGTTTTAGTAAATCTCCCCTATAGTTTTGTATAAATAGGGGAATGGATAGGTCTTTTATGTCTTATTATGTAGATTACATGACTAGTAAGAGAGAACATCGTCACTGACCTAATGTATCCATAAACTGGTGCTGATAATTCCATATGGTCAGACCTAGACCACTTTATATATATATATATATATATATATATATATATATATATATATATATATACAGTATATATATATGGAAGATACATACACTTGTGAATGTGGTCTTACAATCTCCTAATTAAGGGGCAATTTCCACCATATCAAATGTTCCTTTCAGATATCGAGACAGGTTCAGGGGGAGGGGGGGTGTCATTATTTTTGTATTTCCTTCTGGGGGTGTCATTATTTTTGTATTTCCTTTCGGGGGGTCATTATTTTTGTATTTCCTTTCGGGGGTCATTATTTTTGTATTTCCTTCTGGGGGTGTCATTATTTTTGTATTTCCTTTCGGGGGGGGTCATTAGTTTTGTATTTCCTTTGGGGGTCATTATTTTTGTATTTCCTTTCAAGGGTGTCATTACTTGCTGGTTGGATATTTAAAATGAAGGCTAACTAGGATACAGCAGTCCTCTTTAGTAAATCGGCCGCATCACCAGACTCCAAATAAAGCTGGTACATCCCTGCAGTATCCCCCCAAACTGAAATATTTAGTGTAGAGGGCCCTTCATGGTGAACACATGTGATCTGTACATAGTTTTATTTAGTTTTGGTTAAAATTATTCTCATTATTAATATTTTACATTTATGCTGTGTGAACACCTTTTGCTGTGTTTATAGTAGAGAATCACAGTACACTCATCACACTCTTAATTACAAGCGAAGGGCTCCGGGTAAAGTGTTTTGGTCCACATTTACTGCTAATTGTTGCCATATTCTAAGACCGACAATAGTAAAACAAAACTTGTTTATATTGCATTCATTTTTAGTCTTTTTATTTTTTCTTTATGCTGAAAAAATTTATAATTTTTACTACCCTAATCCTGGTATAATCCATTTTTTCAAAAGAAAAAACTTAATCTTTTCCATTATTTTAATAGCATTTTGCCAATTTTTTTACTATTTTTTCTATTGCATAATCACTTCCTGCGTAAATATTTGATAGAATAAGTCAGATTTTCTGAAACAAATTAGGAAAAAGTGGATCTTTTTTTTTATAAAAACCCTAAACTGCGAAGTCATTTTGCAAAATAAAAAAAAAAAAACTGAAGAGAATTCTGCACAAAGCATATGTTGCAGCATTCCAGTTTGTGCCCAGCACCGTATTATAGAGAACATTTCTACCACATTTACAGCATCCTATATATGAGGAAAATGAATATATTGCTATTTCTAAACATTTCAATTTTAATTCTAGACATTACAAATAAAATATGCCTGTATTGATATTTGGTATTGGTGTGGGCTGGGCCCCCTTGTAGCACTGGGATCTGTGTGTATGGGCCATGGCTGTGAGGTTTGTAAGAAATTCTGTTAGATTTTCAAATAACTTCCTAAACAAATGTATTCCAACACTTTCATTCCACATGAAAATAACATCTGTATGCTAATATAACATTTTTTGGTTTTTATAGACATCACATTTGCCATGGTTCCATTGGTACTTTTTTTAAATTAAAAAAAGCAGTGCAGTTGTTCGGGATTGATAGCTTTTTCGTCAACATATTTATTTAATCTAAAAACCTATACTACGTAAACATGCTTGAAACTACAAGTTAATCAGCACAACTAGAATAAAAAATGAAATTATTTTTTTATAATCTGTTTAAAAATAATAAAAAGTACAAAAAACATGATTTTTATCAAAACCTTTTAGAATGTAAGCTCCAACGAGCAGGTCCCTCTGAGTCCTCCTGTATTGTAAATGTGGTGTTTGCCCTCATGTTGTAAAGTGCTGTGCAAACTGTTGGCGCTATATGCATCCTGTATAATAATAATAATAATCCATTGTAAACAGGCTAATGGCTTCAATCAATCACACATCACCTGTACGGTACCATCTGCTGTCCTTTGAACCAATGTATTAAACATACTCAAACATAGTAACCAGGGGCGGACTGACCATTTGGAAACTCGGGCACTGCCCGAGGGCCCAGGGTCAGTAGGGGGCCCCATGAGATGCCCCTGGTACCTTTTTCATAGGTTTTTTTAGTTTGTACAAGGACACAGGGGCCCCATGATCCCCTATTGTCTAGGGGCCCCATGAGTTGTCAGTCCGCCCCTGATAGTAACTAATGTTCAATCCAAAGGCCAGAAGGGGAAACTAATGTATTTCTTGTTGAAACATGAGGAGCAAATAAAATACAATCTCCAAAACACTATTCCACTATATTCTTCATGCATTTCAACCACTCAAGTTTTTTGTACTTGCCTTGCATTGTTATTAAATGAATTTGCTTTAAAATGTAATTTAATATCTCAGCTGTGCTGATCAACTTGTAGTCTCAGACTTGACAACATGGAGGAGCACATGGATCGTGCACTCCAGATCTATCTCAAATGAGAGCATATAATATAGATGGTGAGCTGGTTTGGACATTTATTAAGTAACCATATTACCTGAAGGGCATTAGCATATGGGGACACTGTAAGAAATAAGGCCACCAATATTAATTATATATATTTATTTGGCAGCAATTATTTAATTATCGGTAGTGGTCTTAGATGAGGAGGTGGGGAAGATTTTGCTTTAAGGTATTAACATGAGTACTGTTCACCAACTATCTTATATAATTAGTTAGTATATCAGTTATGTACATTGGTATACTGCAGACAATCAGATTTCACCTGTTCCCATAAAAGTACATTTTTATTAATGACTATGAATGACTGCAGTTAGCCCCAGGCTCTGTGCTTTCCTAAATATACAATCCAATAAAACAGAAAATAAAATCTTTGAAATGCATACAGCCCGTAAGCTCTGCAATTCTGTTTTCATCCAAGCCTAGGTATAATATATAGCTCTAAGCTAGTTTTGTTTTTTTTTTTCTCCAGCCTGGTTCTCCCCTACTTCTGAGGTATGTTCTGACCAACTGCCATTCATATACACACAGAAAGTGCTTTAAAGTGGAACTATACTCACCTTCAGTCCAGTGATCTGGCGTCTCAGAGCTCCCTACCAGTGCTGACATCTTAAGGGTTTCCATTGTCGTTCACTTTCATTGGCTAGCTTCAGCATTGCCAA